AATCATACTGAGACATTAAGATTAACAATAAATGTCTGGCTTGATTTGTTAAAAACTTTTGTAACACTTTCAAAAATGATAGCATGACCTAATAAGAATTAATAAACATTTAGCAAGAATTAACAAAATAATGATTTATTTTATTTTATATACTTACTTCCAATAATGTTAAAATTGCATTTTTCCCCCTTCGATACATATTGTGCAATAGATGCAGTAACACTGACAGTGAAATTAGCACAAGATAGTTCAGTAGTATTCAACCATACACTAGTACTAGTAGTATTAGTAATACTGACTCCATTTACAAGTACATTATAAACAGTATCTGTAATAGCATAACCTCCTGGGAATAAGTCACCAGAATAGAAAGAAGGAGGAGACCATGACAATAACTGATCATCATTGGACCATTGTATGTCTTGAACTGATGATATTCCTATTACATTATTTTTAATGATATTAATCCGGTAGTGGTAGCTCTATTACTAGTCTAACCTCTTATTGTTAGTTTACTAGTATTGGAGAACACTTGTTCAAATTGAGGTGGATATGATACAATTTGACAAGCAATTCCAATTCCATCATTAACAGGTAACCCAGTGATAGTAAGTACTGATGATAAAGCACCATCAGCTTCATTAGTAGTGCTAACTGATATATCTCTCTGTTGTTTAATAGACCCTGTCAGTATATCACTACCTACCAGCCAATTCAGTTCATTGCCAGTTCCTTCACAAGTAAAATTTGCTGTGTCATAAATAGAGATAGTAACAGAGGTAGGGCCAACTGATATATCTAGAAGAAATCAAAATATAAAGTATATTCATCACACATTCATTATACCAGCTCCATCCACTGACATATCCAACAAGAGCAGGACTGTGAGAGACAGACTTAGTTCATTCTTAATCATTTTGACTCTTTGACAACACTGTCTGTAAGATTATAATAACATGTTTTTCTCAGATGAAACTGAATGAATATCAATCTATTGTGTAGAATACATATGTGCGAATTGCAAGATTGATGGCACAGTGACACATCATACAGTCAAACCTGCTATTGTGGACACTCTAAAATAAGGACACCTCTATAATCAGGACTGGTAGTATCAGTCCCAATACAATAGTAATGTGTATTAATGAACTTCTGAAATAAGGACACCTCTTTAATAAGGACAGTTTTATTGGGTCCCAAGGTGTCTGGAATAGACAGGTTTGACTGTATTTAGTGTAGTCTAGCGTAGACTATATTTGCTATGATCGTCATCATAAACCAACCACAACTGGACTATTGCTCCCATTAAACTTCATAAACCAACCACAACTGGACTATTGCTCCCATTAAACTTCATAAACCAACCACAACTGGACTATTGCTCCCATTAAACTTCATAAACCAACCACAACTGGACTATTGCTCCCATTAAACTTCATAAACCAACCACAACTGGACTATTGCTCCCATTAAACTTCAAGACGACCTTTGCATTAACCACAAGTACTAGTCCTATTAGTGATTAGTTCCTATGCATTAATTAAAAATATGAAGGTGGTACTGGAGTTAAACTTGTCTAATTAGAATAAAAATTTAATAATAGACAATGACAACAATAAATTAATTATTACATATTATTTGTAATTATTATAATTATGAAGCATGCAGATTAGCTAGTCTTGCTTCAAGATCGTCAGTACTAGTTAATTCTTTATCTTCCTGTCCTAACTTACCACCTGCAACCTTAGCACCAGCCAACTAATGGAGGAGGGGAGAGAGAGAGAGGACCAGAGAGATGGGAAGGAATTAGAGAAGAGAGAGGAATGGGTAAAAGGAAAGTGTATTTTGTTTATACTTTGCTGGTGTACTCTAGTCCAATCTCATCCAGTACTTGTCCAATTACTTCATCTTCTTCATCTTCATCTCCTGACAGTATTGCATCCATTGTATCATCCACTGAAACAACAAACAATAACAATAATAATAATAATAATAATAATAATAATAATAATAATAATAATAATACTATATTGTATACTAATAAGTACTTTAATTTGGTGGATTTTATTTTGTGATTTTGCTACTCGTTACACATGTATGTGTTAATTGCCAAATTAAAACTTAAGTAGTTAAGGTTGTAAATTAAATTGGAAATACAAAGTGCAATGTAAATTCATTCTAAATTATTGTAAGATGTATACTCACTCATTTCTCCTGCCATGTCCATTTTAGTTGATTCTTTTTCAAACTGCTGCATTGTCCTTTGAATGTCTTCAAGTTTCACTTGTTTGTTCATTGATGCCATTGCCTTGGACGTTTGGCCCATTGCCTTTGTCATAGCAACCTGAGACTGCATTGCCTAGAGTATCACATGAACATCACATGACATGATATTAGTACAATTATTAAAGATAGGTTTACTTGTTACATACCATACATGCACATGTACATGTATATGCATGGTAAATATACAGTGTACATTCACTACATTGTGTACGAATTAAACCAAAAGCATAGGGTAATACAAAGTAGGGGGAATTATATCTATCATAATGGGGAAGACATTATACCACCATAGGCTCAGTTTTGAATGTGTTAGAGGTAATTCAAGTTGACATACTTTCATTTGGTGTCCTGTTGCTGTTATGGTAGCACTCAGTCCATAAGATTTAGTTTTCTGTTGTCTTAGTTTAACTAATTGCTTAGCTAACACAGTAGCTGTCTGGAGGGGAGAGAGAGAGAGGGAGGGAGAGAGGGAGGAAGGGAGGGAGGGAGGAAGGGTTACTAATTGAGAGATATTTATGTACTACATAAACTGTAAGTATCAACATACCGTATTTCCTTAAATAAAAGCCCGGGCGTCTATTTCCTAAAATGGTATTTGGACCTCAAAAAAATATATAAAAAATAAAATAAACTTAGGCCCAGAGCGAGATTTGAACCCGGAACCTCATGCTTTTTGATTTCTGGAACTTCAGGCATTATCCACTAGATTACTGAGTCACTCCTGGGCTAGTGATGCGTATTTATAGTTAAATTGTATTGCTACCCCGGCGTTTATTCGAATGTGGCTTCTATTTAAGGATTTATGGTACACGTACATTGCATTAAGATCAAATTCTTGATCAGAGGCTAGGAACTACATTTGTACATGTACATCACTCAAAATTAAAGCTTGTCAGTGAAGTAAAAAATAAAAATTAATGTTGGTCCAAAATTTGAACTAAGCGTATTTTATCAAAAATGAACAGGAGAGAATTCTCTATTTTTATAATTTTTCCCGATAAATATACATGTTCTTATGTTGTGTAAAAAGTTTGAACTGATTCCAATCAATTTTGGATTTTTTATGAATTTTTAAATTTGTAAAAATTAGACAAAAACACCCCGTACTACAGGCAGTACAGGGTAATTCATGTATTCAAGTACATGTACATTATTTTGTCATGCAAATTAAAAGACAGTGAAATTAGAGTCTATCTCACGTGTTTGTCTCCTCTTTTTGCAGCTTTCTTTTTTTCATCTCAGCTTCCTATTAATAATTAATCTTAATAACCAACCCCACCCACTCATTAATTAATTACCAGTTGCTTCTCTTGCCTCTCCAACTGCCCACGGTCTCTCTCAAGCTCTCGTCCTGTTTTCTTTAACACTTTCTGCTGCTGTCGCATTTGCTCTGCAAATAAATAAAACACAAAACTATGATAATTATTACAGTTCTATGAGTTTACAGTCTCACCAGACCACACCCTCCGTGATACGAAGGGTTTGGTCTGGATACGCGATCGATAATCGGCGAGACACTCCATAAATATTTTTACCATATCAGTTATTCTGAAGGCCATTGCTCCTTTCTTTCCTCTCTGATCTGTTGCTATCAAGTTTACAATACCATCTCAGTCTCACCAAAATAGAGCCCAGCCCCAGCCCCAGCCCCAGCCCCAGCTAGCCCCAGTTGATTTCACGATTTCACAAATTCACATTGAGATCACGTGCGCCTTATGCACGCAGCGTAGCCAGCGCCAGCGTTCAAACGGAAGTGAAATCTGTTGTATCATACAATAGCTTTGATCATGTAGTATATAAAGCCAAAGCATAGCATATAAATCGACAGTCGCAGGAATTTGCAGTGACAATACTTTTTATAGCTTACTGGAAAAGATGTCTAAAGCTGTAACTAACGAATACAATGGTGTTGAAATGGAAGTGAGGAAACCATTATAATTATTATTTTGTCCGCCAGCGATCATCAAAACTAAGCAAGTCTACAGCAAATCAAATAACATGTATGTATAAATATATATTTCACTTCAGTGAATCAAGTCAGTGGTAATTATTGCAGAACAAATTTCAAATTATACAAAAGCATGTTTTTTGTTTTTGTTTTGGCCCACGGTGAGGCCAATGCATCAACGTGTACTGTATCACATTAAATGCAATGCTGTATTGCGTTACATGCAACCATCATGTTAAATGCAACGTCAGTATGAACTAGCAACAGTCTTAAATATAAAGTTTTGTTACTCAGTAGTCATCATCTCTTGTTCTCTCTCTCTCTCTCTCTCTCTCTCTCTCTCTCTCTCTCTCTCTCTCTCTCTCTCTCTCTCTCTCTCTCTCTCTCTCTCTCTCTCCTCTCTCTCTCTCTCTCTCTCTCTCTCTCTCTCTCTCTCTCTCTCTCTCTCTCTCTCTCTCTCTCTCTCTCTCTCCTCTCTTCATTTCACAGTGTCTGAATGGTGGTGCAATTGGTG